TTTAGTAAGCATCAATTATCCTACAAAGCCATTTTACCCGCCAGAACTTTTTCACCCCTCTGTTTTGACGATTTTATTCAATGAATTGTTGAATACTTTCTGCAGTTGAGATTCTAAAACTTAAGAAACATTATTCTTGCTGGTTTCTTGCTAGAATTGTGTGCTGCATTTCTTCTCTGCTTTCAATATCGCAGAGGGAAGTCTTGCAAAGGATTTTATCCCGAAAATCTCATTCACCGTTTCCTTGAGACAATTGTTAAAAGTAAGAAAATGAAATGAAAAGACTACATTTGACCTTTTGATTAAAAATAACGCTAGGATATCACCTTGCCATTTCCTTTTTTTTGGGGGGGGGGGAACAAATTTTATTAATTTTAAAGACAAACAAACCATCATTAACCATTGAATACATAAAACCTCTTTCCATTATTAATTTTACAAGTCAAGTAAAATATTATTTTATACAACATAATTCTGTTTTACACCATTTCCATATGGACATATAAATATCTCTTAGCAAATTTCTCATTATTTCTCTTTTTGTATTCAATTTCATTATTATTATTGTTATTTTCTATATTTATCCAATTTATAATCATCATCTACATTTCTCTCTGACTTGATTACCATTATTCTCATCGAACATTCCTCCGAGGTTTTATTAATTCTCAAACAAACATGAACACACAAAACACAAAAATATAAAACTTCTTTTAAGAAAGTAGTTTGGCCCCAGATTACCTCTCTTTGTATGGACTCAATGAAATTCGTGCTCATCTTATATACCATTACCTATCTTATTTACCATTCTATATCTTCTATATAACTTCTCCCCGCTTTTCATTCTTCTTAATTCTATTTTATTTAATTCATTTTTATTTAAATCATTGTATTTGTATTTTTTGTCCATTCTTTCCAAATTATCCATTTATCTCATTCCCTACAATAAAAAGAAAAAAGGATTTCTCCTGAAATCACTGATCAGAGTATGATGCCTTTCTATCCTCCCCCTAAATTAATATTTAAAATAACGCCTAGTACCCAATCTGATTCTGCTTAGTACATTCTACCTACTAACTTTTAAAAAGAGAAAAAAATAATAAGTCCAAAATAATTAATATAATTAGATAATAAATCTAAATGTTAAATCTTATAACATTCCAATTATCTATTTCAAAAAACAAATGCTAGAATAATAAGTTTATAGTAAAATCAACACAATAGTCAATTAAACTCTTTAATTAAACTTAATATTTTAAACATTCCTTTTAATATTTTGTTAAATGTTAAAGTCTATCATTACTAAACATTTCAATATTTTAATCTTTTATTAATTCTTATAACATTCTAATTTTCTATTTCTAATACAAATACTACAATACCATCTTAGTCCCTTTAATTCCTCCAACTTGGCCTCCAATGTCTAGTTATCATCGTCTGGAGAAAAAAAAACTCTCCCAAGAACAGTCTTTAAAGGGAAGAAATTCCGTCCAAACCCAAAGTACATCTAAATTATAAATAAAAACCAACACAAACCACGCTGCAGCAATTAACGAGACAGGGCTGGATAAGGAATTGCAGACTTCAAAAGATAATGAAACACACACAGTTGGGAGGACGCCAGAACCCAGATAAGACTTGACAAACAAAGATAATACATGCTTTGCTTCCAGCAAGGTTCTGTGTGCAAACACCCTGTTTATCCTGTTTTCCCAGCTGCAGCTAATGAAGGGAATCAAGGCCTTTTTCTCCCCAGTAACCCAGGTTGCTCCCTTATCCATTCCTCCCTGCGAGCCCTAGGATGAAGAGGGGGTGGCCCTGGGTCTTCCTCTGAACCCCCTCTCCCTTGTTCTACCTCTCCCCTGCTCTGCCCAGCCTGACTTTGCCCTTCCCCAGTTTTCTCCACAGCCAATGGAACCACATTCCCGCTCCCTGTCAGCTGCTCGACCTCCCCCTTAGAATCAGATTTCAACGGGGGCATGACACCACCTCCGCAAATGCCATGGGATCTGTCCAATTGGTTTGATTGTAGGTGATATAGGTCCTAAGATATCTTTCCACTGGCATTGGTTCTCTCCGTGGCCCCGTTAGTACTCGAGTGAAATGCCGAGCTTAGACCCCCGAGAGGACCCCATCCTCCGAACAAAGTCCCACCAGAATTTAGCTGTGAACTGTACCCCCCTATCTGAAATTATTCTCCACGGCATGCCGTGGAGGTGATAGATATGCGTGAGGAACAGTTTAGCTAATTTGCAATGGTAATCTGGGGCGTGGTACAAAATGGGCTTGTATGACAGTTTAACCATTGCTCTCCGGAAGCTCCACAATGAAATCCATGGCTATCTCCTCTCAGGGCTGGGTTGGGTCAGCCATGGATTGTAAGAGACCACGGGTTTTCCCTGAGCAGGGTTTTGTGGTTGTGCAGACTGGACAACTTTTGACATAGTCCAGTATGTCAGGGGTCGCCAACCTTTTGGACCTCAGGGGACCACCAAACTCTTAATTTTAAATCCCGTGGACCAGAGACCCTGGGAAAATCCCCCAAAAACTCTGCAGGAAAATTCCCCACCCCGTTTTCCTACCAATCGATCGTTCTTTATTTGGGATCACAGGATACCGTCTCCAGCTCCGTTCTCAGGCGTGAAGAGAGAGAGAGACTTTTGGCTTCTTGCAAGGAAAACAGCAAAAGCACCAGAAGTCTTTCTTTCTCTCCTCCAAACTCCGCCAGAAATGAGTCTTTTCTGGCACAGCCTCTTGGAGCAGGAGGCCTTGCAGGGTCCCAAAGACTCATTTCTGGTGGAGTTTGAGGGAGAGAAAGAGACTTTTGCTGCTTTCCTTGCGTGCAGCCAAAAGCAGAAGAAGAAAGAAGCGGAAAGAAGCAGCCTGGTGGCCAGGCCAGGCGCGTGGGGCGTGTGGTGCAAGTTTCCCCCTTCACCCTTTCCCCCTTCTCACTCCCTCATCTTGTTTACAATGCAAGCGTCGCAAGCCTTGTGTTCCCACCGGCCATGTGGGTGACGCAGCCTGGATCAATTGCTTTGGGGGGTGACATTTCTCTGCGGACCACCAAAATTTTCTCGCGGACCACCAGTGGTCCCCAGCCCACTGGTTGGCGACCCCTGCTGTATGTCATGTTGCATCTAGGGCCACCAGAATTGCAAGGTTTTGAGAAATCCAGAGTGTCCTGCCTGTTTGATGTCATGGCACATTGTCACTGTGACTTGTCAAAAGTGATGTTTAATATAGTCGCAGTTCCAGCATAAATGGACAGTTCTGGGTTGTAGAAATATTTTCTTTAGAGTCTTAATTCTGCCAAACTCATAATGAAACATGGCTTCAGTGTTTCTATTTAAGATCAAGTTAAAGAGTTGAATGTGGCATGCATTATTTTTGAAGCTGCAGTATCAATACTGCCAAATGATGGGCTAAACATTCCATTCGTAGTTAAATGGCATGGGAAATAGAAATTATAACCCATGGCAGACCAGAGATACCAAGCCAGTACCCACTGCTCCTGGGTTACTCTTTTGATCAAGGCTATCATCTTCCTTTTTTCCAAACAGAATATGCTTGGCCCATTCTGTGCATTTCTTACTCCAAAGATTAGTCTTGAAAGTATGCTGCAATGTTACCTTTAATAAGGTCAATAAAGTTATTCTATTCTATTCTATTCTATTCTATTCTGTTCTGTTCTGTTCTGTTCTATTCTATTCAGAAAACTAGGTTGATGTGTGTTTTGCATAACTAATGAAGGCAGAAAATTATAGTTGGAAACGTAGTTATTTAAAGCCATTTCCACGCCGTGCTGCTGATCAATAGCTATGCTTTCCTTGGTGGTAAGAAATCTCTTTCCAAGGGTTTGAAGCCTTGGAATCTACAAGAGGACTTACTTATTTGGGCTGTGAAGGAAACCTGACATATATTTTAAATGCTTGTATTGGATTATTTTATTATTATTAAAAATCTATTTTTAAAAATGCTTTCTTTTTAAAAAAGCAGATGTCCCTTTTCCTCCTGGTTAGTTTTTATCACTTTTGGTTCTACACTTTTGAAGTGCAACAGTTCATCTTACTTTAAACCTAATCTTCAATTAGCTTCTGAATACTAAGTTGGTCGTAACCAAGTGTAGTGCAATACTTATTACTCCTCTCTGCCACAGACCATGATGCTGTTAAATGCTGTATTTGGATATCACGCAGAAAGAAACTATAGCCCAAGCTAC